TTTAGCTTTCTCCTTTGTACGCCTCTCACCAACACCACCTTCTGGCGGTAGGTGAAAAGTTTCAATTGAAAATTTTTTTCTCCTTAATTTAAATCCTAAATTATTTCCACCGCCTCCGGAGAGTATCGACAATTTTGCTGAAGAGGACAAGAGTGAATTGATTGTGGGTAACTTATAGACATGAAATAAACCATGATAAGTAGCACTGTAGACTGAATTAGCGGCTGATGGAGAACCTTATATATCATGTACAAACGTATTGAGTTGAGCACATATATACATTAGAGAGTGAAATAGCAATTTTACCCGCAAATGATTCTAGCTCGATCACGGAATCGCTCATATGTTCAATGCGTCTTATGAATAAAGATGAGTCATATAGATGAGCTGGAATTGTTATTACAGCTGAACTACATGAAATCCGTAGCAAACCACGTAGAGCATGAAAAAACCTAAAAAGGTCCTGTTACCAATTAAGTAGGTCTAGTATAATAACTAAGTAGGCAAGGAATTGTTTCGTGAAAAAAATCTTTTTACATGAGGAGACTTAGATCGCCAAGAAGGTGATGCAATTGAGTGAATTCCAATTCTCATTGCATTTCTTTCAACGCCAGCTGGTGGAGAAACCGATGATCTGTACAATACACGATTCATAGTAAAAAAAGAGTATCACTGAAAACATAAATAATTTTAATTTTATTAATCAAACCTGAAATGTTTTTCGTCTATGACTTGATGAATTTTAGACAAGAGCCTATTGTACGGATCCTCGTTATCATTCCATGTATTTACATCAACTAACGTCATTTGCGCAGACTCGATCGTAGATTGCGGGATCAATTTTGTCAAATCAAAAACATGATTAAATGCACTTTCCAATTTTTGATTATTTCCTAGGCCACTTCCAACGGGAATTTGCTTGTGATGAAGGACGCTTGATGTAACTTTCGAATTAAAACAAATCAAGATAATCTCCATTATATGAAATGGATGCATATTTCAGTATCAAATTTATACATACCGATATTAGAGTTGCTGCTTTTAATTCCGGATTCAAACTTTTTCATATTTTTATATCTCCAAGCAATGGTCATCTTTTCTTCCAACAACTTACCATCATCTGCCACACCATCTAGGCTATCCGATTCGTTGTCGGCGATCCAGGGAAGTCCTTTTATAAAATTTATTGGATCTTCTTCTGCACTAGCAAACAAAACATGATGCCCTGACGCAATTCCTTGTGACAAGTAGTATTTGAGAAGTAATTTTGAATATTCCGTATATCGGTCTTCTTTAATTAATAAAGTTGTACCGATTGGTATGCCACCACC